GCCTCTTGGGGCCCTCTTGGGGCGCTCTTGGGGCGCTCTTGGGAGCCTTCGGGGCGCTCTTGGGGCCATCTTGGAGGAGATCTATCAAGAAGGGGGGGTTGCTTATTAGCGTTGCCCCTCTAGAGTGCCTCGAATCGCCTCTTGGGCCTTCCTAGAGGCCAAAATCCGTCCAAAACCTAAGGAAAATCAATGTTTTTTGCTTTCTCGCCTTTTCGCTCTTGGAGCCGTCTTGGGCCATCTTGGGAGCATCTTGGGGCCTCTTGGGGGTCTCTTGGGAGCCTCTTGGGGGCATCTTGGGGGCCTCTTGGGGCCTCTTGGGGCCCTCTTGGGGCGCTCTTGGGGCGCTCTTGGGGCGCTCTTGGGAGCCTTCGGGGCGCTCTTGGGGCCATCTTGGAGGAGATCGATCAAAGAAGGGAGGGTCGTATATTAGCGCTGCCCCTCTAGAGTGCCTCGAGTCGCCTCTTGGGCCCCCCAAGAGGCCAAAATCCTTCCAAAACCTAGGTAAAATCAATGTTTTTTGCTTTCTCGCCTTTTCGCTCTTGGAGCCGTCTTGGGCCATCTTGGACTCTCTTGGGGCCTCTTGGGGGTCTCTTGGCAGCCTCTTAGAGGCTTCTTGGGGGCCTCTTGGGGTCTCTTGGGGCGCTCTTGGGGCGCTCTTGGGGCGCTCTTGGGAGCCTTCGGGGCGCACTTGGGGCCATCTTGGAGGAGATCTATCAAAGAAGGGGGGAGCTCCAATTAGGGTTGCCCCTCTAGAGTGCCTCGAAGCGCCTCTTGGGCCCCCCCAAGAGGCCAAAATCCTTCCAAAACCTAGGTAAAATCAATGTTTTGTGCTTTCTCGCTTTTTCGCTCTTGGAGCCGTCTTGAGCCATCTTGGACGTCCCTGACACCTCGCGAGACGCCTCGTCCAGGTCAGTGGGGAGGGGTAAGGGGAGGGGTAAACCCCTCCCCGAAGGGGAAGAAGGGGGTTGGCAGAGGAAACGCTCTAGACCACCTACGCCCTAAAGGGCTGGTGGGATTGGTTGGGGCCGGCCCTTCAACTGTGTCCCCGGTGGACATGTTCATGCTTTCCAGCCCTATGCAAATTCCTTTCCGTGTGTCTGACTGTCAGACTCAGACAATTGGGTACGTTTTTCCGTTAGGAAGTTTGGGCTAGGAGCGGCGCTATTATTGGGTTTCAGTACAGGCTTGATGGGGGAGGACCCGTGGGAGGACCTCAGAAGCATCGAGTCCCTCTCGAATCCAAATTGGACCTTGCTCCAAAGCTTTGACTGCGTCTCAACTCGCACGCGTCCGTCCCAGCCCCGGCCAGTTCTTCCTACGCTGGCCACTTCCGCTCCGATGGCCCTTGCAGTGCTGATGCCTCCAGCCTGCCAGCACGATCGCGCCGCCGTGCCGACTCCTCGCTCCTCGGTGCGAGGGCCGCGCGGGGCCACGTGGCCGAGGGCCACCGTCTCGGCTCTCGTGGCCGCACCCCGTGGGCGGCGACCACGAGGTGCCCTGGGGCCGCGAGCCGCCGAGTCGGCCTTCGAGCCTCAGGGCCTCCCGCGCGGGCTCGAGGGCCACAGGCTTGGGGCCGCCAGCCACCGAACGGACCCTCGAGCCTCACGCACCTCGGGAGGGGCCAGAGGGCCACGGGCCAGGCGAGACGCCGCATCGGCCTTCCAGGCAGCCTCGCACCTCGCGCGAGGGCCACTCGGGACCCCAGTCGCTGAGGGCTCCTCGAGCCGGGGTGAGGTGGGCGGGGCGCGGGATCGACCGCGACTCGTTGCACGCCCTCTTTGTGGCATTGTTGAGTTATCCCTCTGTACGCTACCAAACCTTGCCAACACGTCAAGGTTATGTTTCTGTTGATACCTCCGAGAGGAACAAAACATTAGCCTGGCGAAGGACCCAACCATGTGCAGTTGTGAGCACCGTCATTGTATGCACCGCATTCGGAGGAGCTCCCTAAAGCGCCACGAAACGTGTGAGGGGTGTGCCAAAATTTGTCCGGTGGGCGCATGCGAAAGCAGCCACTGGGGCCTTCGGTGGAGCTCCCTATGCGGCCACGAAGCGTGTGAGGGGTGTGCCGAAATTGGTGCGGTGGGCGCATGCGAACGCAGCCATTGGGGCCCTCGGTGGATTTCCCTATGGTACCGCGAAACGTGTGAGTGGTGTGCCGGAAGTGGTGCGGTGGGCGCGTGCGAACGCAGCCATTGGCGCCTTCGGTGAAGCTCCCTGTGGGGCCACGAAACGTGTGAGGGGTGTGCCGAAATGGGTGTGAGTGACGCATGCGGGCGGTGGCACTGTGGCTTTCGGTGGAGCTCCCTATGGGGCCACGAAACGTGTGAGGGGTGTGCCGAAGTGGGTGTGGGTGACGCATGCGGGCGGTGGCACCCACGAAACGTGTGAGGGGTGTGCCGAAAGTGGTGTGGGTGACGCATGCGGGCAGTACCACTGGGGCCTTCGGTGGAGCTCCCTGGGGCCACGAAACGTGTGAGGGGTGTGCCGAGATTTGTGTGGGTGACGCATGCGGGCGGTGGCACTGTGGCCTTCGGTGGAGCTCCCTAGGGGGCCACGAAACGTGTGAGGGGTGTGCCAGAGTGAGTGTGGGTGACACATGCGGGCGGTGGCACTGGGGCCTTCGGTGGAGCTCACTATGGGGCCACGAACCGTGTGAGAGGTATGCCGAAATGGATGTGGGTGACGCATGCGGGCGGTGGCACTGGGGCTTTCGGTGGAGCTCCCTATGGGGCCACGAAACGTGTGAGGGTGTGCCGAAATGGGTGTGGGTGACGCATGCGGGCGGTGACACTGGGGCCTTCTGTGGAGCTTCCTGTTGGGCCACGAAGCGTGTGAGGGGTGTGCCGAAATGAGCGTGGGTGACGCATGCGGGCGGTGGCACTGTGGCTTTCAGTGGAGCTCCCTATGGGGCCACGAAACGTGAGAGAGGTGTGCCGAAATGGGTGTGGGTGACGCATGCGGGCGGTGACAGTGGGGCCTTCTGTGGAGCTCCCTATGGGGCCACGAAGCCTGTGAGGGGTGTGCCGAAATGAGCGTGGGTGACGCATGCGGGCGGTGGCACTGTGGCTTTCGGTGGAGCTCCCTATGGGGCCACGAAACGTGTGAGAGGTGTGCCGAAATGGGTGTGGGTGACGCATGCGGGCGGTACCACTGGGGCCTTCGGTGGAGCTCCCTATGAGGCCACGAAACGTGTGAGGGGTGTGCCGAAATGGGTGTGGGTGACACATGCGGGCGGTGGCACTGGGGCCTTCGGTGGAGCTCCCTATGGGGCCACGAAACGTGTGAGGGGTGTGCCGAAATGGGTGTGGGTGACGCATGCGGGCGGTGGCACTGTGGCTTTCGGTGGAGCTCCCTATGAAGCCACGAAGCGTGTGAGAGGTGTGCCGAAATGGGTGTGAGTGACGCATGCGGGCGGTACCACTGGGGCCTTCGGTGGAGATCCATATGGGGCCACGAAGCGTGTGAGGAGTGTGCCGAAATGAGTGTGGGTAACGCATGCGGGCGGTGGCACTGTGGCCTTCGGTGGAGCTCACTATGGGGCCACGAAGCGTTGTACTGGGTGGGTGAAACGCAGGGAGGAGGAAGGAGGGGGAGGAGGAGGAGTGACGCGGGGCGCTGTCTCTTCAACACGAGGACCCAACACCGCAGGATGGTTACGTAGGAAAAACGTGTGTCCTAACCGGTCTCCTTCAAGGCAGGATTGGGGAGACAAGGCGCCAGCAAGACTGCGTCCCAGCAGGCGGGTCTTGCTAGAAGTGCCCCTGGCCCAATGCTAAGGCGCCCCCATGATTTCCGATGATGCCCCCACGGCCTCCAGAGCACCCCTCACGAGGCCCAGAGGGCCCCAGGGGGCTCCCAGATGGAGCGCAAAGTTGGGGACGCTATGGGCCAGGGGCATCTTTTCAGCAGCGACCCCCGAGGGAACAGGGATGCGGAAGGGGCTAGCCTTTTGAAAACGGTGTTGCCTCGCCCGCGCGCGTGGCCTCCGCGCCCTCCACAGGGGCCGGCGGACCTCGGGCGCCAGCCCCGTGGCGAGGCACCCCTCCTCGCGCGGCGTCGACGTGGAGGCGAGGCTCCGCTGCCCGAAAAGCAGCGCCGTGCCTGCCCGGGAAAGGACTCCGACGTCGACGCTGATCCTGGCCTTGACGTTGGACCCCCAGCCTCATCCCCCCCCTTGAGGCTTCGACGGAGCTCCCCATGAGGCCGCGAAGCTTGTGAGAGGTGTGCCGAAATTGCCGGGGGACCGCATGTGCCCCCACCCCCACCAGGAACTCAGTTGGGCCCCCCCCTGCCCGCTCTCGCTCCTGCCTTGACCCGCCCTCCGCGCCCCCTCCTGCCCTCCGCCTCGCTCCCCTGCATTGTTGACCGAACCTGCAGGGTGGGCCCTCTCCAGTTCTCTGTGCACTTCAGCTTTGGCTTCGGCTTAAGCTGCCGATGCACCGTGAAGCGCCTTCGGGCAAGCTCACCCGAGTCGGATTTTCAGCTCGCGCGCGTGCTCGCTCCCCCCCCTCCCCCTCGATGCCCTCCCAACCGCGCCAAGTCCTCTCCGCCTCTGGGGCGGACACCCGCGCGCTCCGCTCCGCTCCGCTGCGCCCCGCCTGCTGTGGGGCGCAGGCTGCGCGGACGCTCCCGCCGGGGGCCGCCGGCCCCCCCCTCCCCCCTCCCAGACCCCCGACGTCGTGTTTTTTTCACAACGTCGACTCCCAGAGATCTGGACCCCTTCTCCGGGACCGGTTTCTCGTCCTGATTAGTTGTTTGATAGTCCCGAGGCCCAGTGAGAGCCCTCGGGGGCCGAAAACAGCGAACAAAAATCCCGTCGTGATTCTTTCACAGCGCGAGGAGGTCTGGGCCGCGCATGGCAGCGCCCGCGCAGCGGCGGCGGCGGAGGCGGCCGGGACGGCCCTGGCGCGCGCGGATGGGCCGGCGGTAGCCTCGGCGGCTGGCCGTGCGCGGCCGCGCACGCAGCGCCGCAGCTGGCGGGCGCGGCCGCGGGAGCCATGCCGCCGGTGGGGCTGGGGGGGGAGGAGGAGGAGGAGGAGGAGGAGGAGGAGGAGGAGGAGGAGGAGGAGGAGGAGGAGGAGGAGAGGAGGAGGAGGAAGGGAGGAGGAGGAGGAGGGAGAGAGGAGAGGAGGAAGAGGAGGAGGAGGAGGAGGAGGAGGACGAGGAGGAGGAGGAGGAGGAGGAGGACGGCGAGTTGGGACAAGGCCTGTTGGCCTTCGGGGGGGCCCCCCGTCGCCACGGCTGGGCGCAGCCCAGAAAGCTGGCACGGCTGGAGCCCAGAAGGGGTCCAGAGGCCGATCTTGACCTGTTGTTGTCTCAATTCGCCTTGCTCCGAGAGAGGCGCGCCCGTGCACCGCCGAAGCGCTGGGCCGCCCAAGCGGGGCTGGAGGATCGTGGCGCTCCGCTCTGCGGCGCGACGCGGAACCTGGCCTTGTCCGTCCTGGCCTCGCCGATGCATCGTCGATGCGGTGCGATCTCTTCCGGCCCCATTTGCGCTGGCCCCGCTTGGGCGGCCTCCAGAGAGGGCCTCCCCCGCCCAACGACGTCCCGTGTGCTTACCCATGGCGCGCACCCGGGTACCGTCGGGCACCTTAGATGTACTGCGACATCACCTGTGACACCGGGGCCCGCGTGCAGGTACTCCGCACTTGCAGAACAGCGGTCGCCAGTGCCCGCCATGTTCTACCCACCTGACCGCGAGATCACGTACGGTGACGAGTATCAGCTCTGATGGGCCTCCTCATCTGGTGACGATGCGCCAGACCCCTCGCTGCAAATCGCAAAGAGGGACTGCAGGCTCGGATATTGGGGGTGCACCTTGGCACTGCGCTCCAGCACGTGCACCGGATCTAAACGGAAGGCGCGATCACCACGCTGGGCGCCGAATTGCTTGGGGAAGCAAGCCTCGATGACAGCGGCGACAAGGATGGGGAGGCGACTGCCTCACGCAAGATGCGTCCAGACACGATGCTCGCTCACGTCATGTGCCCTAGGTGAGCGAGTACGACGGCAAGTCCCACGGCGACACGGGCAACCGCGCGGAACGCAGCAGAGCAGGCGCAACAAGACCACTTCGGCCGCATCCTTTTGACAAGCTGGAGCCGTGCCTGATGGGCCTGTTTTCTACCACCATTACCATAAGTTGGAGGGGGGAAGGAGGTGCAGGATGAGGAGGAAGAAGAGGAGGAGGAGGAGGACCCCCTCCCCCTCCTACTTCTGGTGGTGGCGGTGGAAGACAAGCCCACCAGTGCCAGCACGTGCGCCGACTCGCCGCACGGGCAGAGCCAGGATGGCTGCTGCTGAGCAGCCTCGATTCGCATCAGCGGACGTGCCGGCGGGGCGCTTGGAGGCAGACTCGCGGGCCGCGGGCACAGAGCGGCCGCGCCGAGGCGGAGCGCTGCGTAGTGATCGGCCGCGATGCAGGACGGTCGCCGAATGCTGGTGCGCGTGATACAGTCAACCCGCATGATGAGGATGAGCGACTTTCCATAGTCATGGTGGGCAGATTTTCCACCACCACTACCAAATTCAGGACGGGGGAGAAGGGAGGATGAGGAGGTCCTCCTCCTCCTCCTCCTCCTCCTCCATCTCCTGCATATGGTAGTGATGTTGGAAAATGGGCCCATAAAGTTACCCTTGCAGCCTTCCCCTTCGGCCCATCCTTGGCCGCTTTCGCTGGCCGCGTCCCGCTCGCAAAGTGTCGACATGGCCTTCCAAGGCCCTTGCATCCTTGTCGTGCATCCTTTGACTGTGCTTTTGATGCGCAAAGCCGCGGTGCCCGATGGGCACTGCTGGCTGTGCGTGTATGTTACTATACCACGCCGCGCTCGGGAAACGCAAGACTCGAGTTCGCCAGAACTCGGGTTTGCCGACGTTCTTTCACGGGCCCGTGTTGAATTTTGACGGTCCAAGTTTCGTGGGATGTTTGCAGCTAGAG